ATTTGATAAGTCTCTTTTTGATAGGGGAATTAGCCCATCCGTTATTATTATTATTTTTTTTGGTGAGGAAGATCAGCCCTGAGCTAACATCTTTGCCAATCTTCCTCTTTTTGTTTGAGGAAGATTGTCCCTAAGCTAACATCTGAGCCAGTCTTCCTCAATTTTGTATGTGGGACGCCGCCACAGCATGGCTTGACGAGTGGTGTGTAGGTCTGCCCCTGGGATCCAAACCCACGAACCCTGGGCCATCAAAGCAGAGCACGTGAACTTAACCACTACGCCACTGGGCTGGCCCCATCCATTATTTTTTTTTGAAATAACTGATACCTGATTTTATCCTTTTCATATCATTTCTATTATATTTATTACATTTTAAACTTTGTTTCCTCTTTACTTTTTTTTCTTACATTTGCAGGCTTTTAAGTTTCTCTTCATTTCCTGTTTTCCCCTTAGTTAATTTGGATTCTATGCCTTTCCTTGCTGCAGGTGGTTACCTTTCCAGTCCTGACAATCCAGACGAGCCCTGTATTTGTCTGCCACTTGTTGCCTCCACCAGGATGTGTTAGCTCCTGAACCTGCCCTCGAGTCCAGAGGAGATCTTTACAATACTCTTATCTTCTTCCCTCATTTGAAATTTAGGAATTTCACCAGCATTTTTGTGTATCTTTTTTAAAAAATCAAAGCTGGCTAAGATATGGTGGGCCTTTCTGATGCGCCAGCTCAAGTCTCTTTCCGATTAGGAAGTTCTTTATTATCCCCTGTCTGTCAGTTTTTCTCCTTCTGGAATGCCCATTATTCACGTTAGGTCTCCTAGATGTACTTTTCAAGTTCCTCTTCCACCATGATTTCCATTTATTGGCTTTTTTTTTCCTCTTTGTTCAGAGATATATCTTCTACCCGATATTCCAGATTACTAATTTGGCCACTGCTGAGAAACATCCTTTTTTGTCTGGGCCAGGGCCTGAGCTATCATAATCGTTTTTGATGACATCTCTTCCATTTATTGCTCCTTCAGTGAGGGTTGCCCCCTCCAGAGAGTGGAATTCTCCCACCCTCGGAGCCTCCGCGGGGGAGGGTTCCCCCTTTGTGCTGTGTCTGGTCGCCCTCGGTCCTGAGCAGTGGGTGGCAAAGCAGTGAGTGGTGGGTGACCCAGCAGTTTCTGCTCTTCTGGGCTGGGGGTGAGAACTGGCAAACCACCAGCCTTCTCTGAAACCACGGCGAGGGCTGTTTGCAGGTCTCTGACACTACAGGGAGTAGGAGCAGCACCCCTATTCCCAACCAGCTGGCCTCCCAGGACTCTGGGTGAGTGGGTACAGCCCCTCCCCAGGGAATTCTTAGTTAAGTGCGATTGTGTGTTTGTGTGTGTGTGTGTGGTTTCCATTTCTTTTTTTTTTTCTCCCTGCTCCTTCAAGAAACCATGAACTTCTGATCTTTGCTCCAGGCTTCAGGGCTGCTACATAGTTTTGCAGGTTAATTACACAAGGGCATGGCTAAGGGGGCTAGAGATGGCAAGCTGTGTTCCCCTTGCCACGCTGTTTGTGCTCTGGTGAGGGAGTGTGTCTGCCTGGAGGAGGGGCCACCTTCTGATAATTTGCACAAAAGGCTTTCTTCTGGCCAAGTGTCCCCAGGGCCGCATTCCACGTGTAACTCATGTAACTCACACACAGGCACTACTACAGGGGCTAGTGGCAGCCATGCTGCCTTGAGGGGCATCCTTCCCTCCTGTGCCACTGTCCCTTGTTCTCTCCAGGCACCAAGGAGAACCTAGATCTGTTCTGAGTCTGCAGGCTCAGGTGCACCCACCTTTGCAGTGCTCCCTGGGCTGCTGTGCTGCTCCCAGGAGGGTGCTGGGATGGAGAGACAGGTAGGGGGAGCTTGCCCTCCAGCGACATGGACCAGAATCAAGCATAAGGCATCCAGTAAATAAAAAGGTTTATTTTGAATTTTACTCTCAGGCTTTTATTTATTTAAAAAAATAGTTGGCATGTACAGTAAAACAAAAGAAGCAGAAAATAAGTCTCAAATACCACCACTGCGAAGCAACAATATTGATAATTCTACACATCTTTCTAACCTCTAAGATTTAAGAATATTTTTGAATAGGTAATATATGCACATGGTATAAAAATCAGAAGGGACAAAAGGTATCCATTGCCCTCCTCCCACCCACTTCCCTTTTTCAGAGACAAGCACTATTGGCAGAGATATCCTATTTGTTTACACACATTTGGATGTGTGGACATATATCTTTTTCCCTCATAAATGGTTGCATTCTCTAACACGGTTTTACATCTGGCTTTTTTTCACTTAACAAAAAACCTTGCAGATCTTTCCAAATCAGTGTATTGCCTTATTAATTTTGATAGTTTCATGGTATTCTGTTTTACTGGTGTACCCACAATTTATGTAACCAATCCTTAATTGATGGAAATTTGGACTGGTTCAGTATTTTACTAATATAAAGTGTTTCACTGTCTATCCCTTACATACCTCTTCTGCATGTGGAGTAAATCTATAGTGTAAATTACTGGAAGTAGACATGCTGGATCAGAGGGTATGTAACTTTACTAGAAATTGCCAAGTTCCCCTCTACAGAAGTTGTACCATTACATGTCTACCAGCAGTGTATAAATGGCTAGCTTTTCTTTAATGAGTCATTTATTTACATAATTGAGATTATACTGGCTATACACATTTTTTTATCTTCACATTATATCAGAAGTATCGTATCACATCAAAACTATTCATAAAGAGGGGGCTGGCCCCGTGGCTCAGCGGTTAAGTACGTGCTCTCCGCTACTGGCGGCCCGGGTCCGGATCCCGGGCGCGCACTGATGCACTGCTTATCTGGCTATGTGGTGTCCCACATACAGCAACTAGAAGGATGTGCAACTATGACATACAACTATCTACTGGGGCTTTGGGGGGAAAAAGGGGGAAAAAAGAAAAAAAAAAGGAGGAGGATTGGCAATAGATGTTACCTCAGAGCCGGTCTTCCTCAGCAAAAAGAGGAGGATTGGCATGGATGTTAGCTCAGGGCTGATCTTCCTCACAAAAAAAACCAAAACCAAAAACAACAACAAAAAACTATTCATAAACAATAACAAAAACTTTAAAGGTATAAATGTTCATTGTAGAAAGATCACCTTACTAATTAGTATTTACCTTTTGTATATATATCCTTTGATATATATATTCATTTATATACCTTTATTTGTGTGTGTATATACACATACACATATATATTTATGTGTATGTATGTTTATTTAACTAAAATGAGACTGTACCATTCCTAACCTGCTTTTTAAAATTGAATATGTCATGAACATTTTTCCTTGTTATTAAATATGATTGCATCACTGGATTTTTCTAATTTTGCTATTATAAATAATGCTGTGTTGATATCTGAGTATATAATTTTGATTTTTAAAAATATTTCCTTAGGTCACAGAATATATGTGTTTTGAGCTCTTAATACATACGGAGAATTGCTGTCCAGAAAGGCTGGGTCAGTGTCTGTCTTCCTAGTAGCAGGACAGGAGTCAGCCTGTCCCACCACACTCTAACCAGTGTTAGTGACTTATTTCTTGTCACACTTTCATATGAAGGCTATTAGGAGCTATTGACAGATTTTAAGTAGACAGACAGCATAACCAGATTTGCCTTTCTGATTCCAGCTTCAGGACCTAATAGCTCTGTCAGTCTCATGTGGCCCATATGAGGCATTTAAGATAACGGTGACCCTCAGCAATGTGGAGCAAGTTTGGGTGGAGACCCAACAAGCAGATCTGTAACCTGTTGCTATGGAGATAGCAGTTCAGGACAGGCAGAGAGAATACTTACTGGACAATGCTCACAAGATCTTCTCTGTGTCACAACTTCGACTTAATGCTAGTCCTTCTGCTCAGCGCCCTCTTATTCTTTAGGTCTCAGAATACCAGCAGCTCATCTTTTTTTTTTTTTTTAATTTTTTAAATTTTTTTCCTCCAAAGCCCCAGCAGATAGTTGTATGTCATAGTTGCACATCCCTCTAGTTGCTGCATATGGGATGCGGCCTCAGCATGGCCTGAGAAGCGGTGCATCGGTGCGCGCCCGGGATCCGAACCCGGGCCTCCAGCAGCAGATTGCACGCACCTAACCGCAAAGCCACGGGGCTGGCCCCAGCAGCTCATCTTGAGTACTGCGTGCCAGATGCTTTCCTATGCGCCTTCCTGCATCATCTCCTCTGAAGTTGGTACCATTACTGTCCCCTGTTTTGCAGAGGAGAGAATTGAGGCAGAGAAAGATTAAACACCCAGCCTGTGGTTATGTCGCTGGTAATTCAGGCCTCACACCCAGAGTCACCAGTCTGCAGGGCCTGTCCTCTTCACCGCTGGGCTTCCCAGCCATGGGCCACTTCCCTGTACCATTAGCTGGACTCTCGGAGTAGCTTCCAAGCCAGACTTCTCAGAGTGCTTTTGTTTGTAGCACAAAAACACTCAGGTTCTTGAGTGTTTAAAAAGAAAGTTCCAGATTTCTCTTCCTATTTCCTGCTTCTCCCGAAAGACAGAGCTGAGACATTTGGTTGTAAGCTCCTTCAGGGCAGGCCCACATCATGCTAGTCTCTGAAGGAAATGCTGGGCAGTGACTGGACCTGGGGAGCTCCACTCAATGCCTGTGATGTGCAATAAAGCAAGTTCCCGAGATTCAAATTGTCTACGTAGGCCACAAAGATAAATCAAAGGAAGTACAGTTGGACTCGTTCAGTACAGACTGATCTGGCAGGTGAGCCTGTGTTGGTGAGCCTGCTTTGGAAACAGTGTAAATGTCCTGCATCAGGGCATCTGTGAAGTGACATCAGAGCACTTCTGTGTTCACTTGGAATAACAGCAGGCTCTGTGTCCGTGTTTGACATCCATTGTGTCATCATGTAAATTGTTTTTCACAAGAACTTGAGAAGCTAGCAGTGTAGCTATTATTATCCTGGGGTTTGATGGTTTTTGGTTTTTGTGGTTTTTTTCCCCAGAGGAAGAGACGGAAGTTTGGACAGCCCGTTGTCCTGCATGGCCTCCCTTTCATTAGAGTCTGACCATGTGGATGAGCAGAGCTCTGGGAGGCGAGCTCTGGGAGGCCACCCTATGCTGGGATCTCCTTTGGCTCAGGGAGATAAGCCAGCACTACCTCCAGGACAGGTCCCTGGGCTTCCTGGTCTTTCTTCTCCTTTTGTTCCTCAGGTCTGAAAACTCTTCAGGGCTTCAGAGGAAGCTCAGCGAGTTGATCCTCATGTAGCGGGAGAAGAGCACATAGAGGCGGCGGAACCAGAGGAGCTGGCTGCGGTGGCAGGACATGGCTCTCTAGAAGAATCAGAGGGCCAGTTATGGAACACTTGCACTGGAGCTGTTTCTGTTATTTTCAGTTCTGCCTTCCTCACCTTAAATCCTTCCTCCCACTGACACACCTCATGCTGTTGCCTCATCCGGCTTCTCCCTGTAACCCAAGAACCTCTCAGAATTGGCCTCTAATCACTGCCTCCCCTCTCCCATCTCCTGCTTACTCCCCTGTGATAATAGCAGATGGTGCTCATGGCAGCTAGAGCGCTCAGTCTTCACATTATCCGGATTTTAACTACCCTGTGAGTTAAGTACTATTATTATTGCTGTTTTTTTTTAATAGATGAGGAAACTCATCTATCTCAAATAGCTAGTAGGTAGCAAAGCTGAGATTTGACCCCAGAGTCATCCAATTGACTCTGGAGCCTACATTCTTAATCACTGTGCTCCACTACCTCGAATGTATAACACATGCTGCGATGTTTTACAGGAAGCAAGCTAGACCTCTATGGTCCAACTCCTGAATTAGGTAAGCTGGAAAGATACAGTCACTATTAGAAGAAGAAGGAAACAGAATGATACACACAGGTATGGGTTCCCCTTGCCATCTAGTGGGGGAAATGTTTATAATCTTGTTATTCAGACCTGGGGTAGTTCAGTTTTTAAACAGAATAGATCATAGATGGGCCGGCCCCGTGGCTTAGCGGTTAAGTGCGCGCGCTCCGCTACTGGTGGCCCGGGGTCGGATCCCGGGCGCGCACCGACGCACCGCTTCTCCAGCCATGCTGAGGCCGTGTCCCACATACAGCAACTAGAAGGATGTGCAACTATGACGTACAACTATCTACTGGGGCTTTGGGGAAAAAAAAAGGAGGAGGATTGGCAATAGATGTTAGCTCAGAGCCGGTCTTCCTCAGCAAAAAGAGGAGGATTAGCATGGATGTTAGCTCAGGGCTGATCTTCCTCACACACACACAAAAAAAGAATAGATCATAGCAACTGATCTAACTAGATAGAACATATATAAATCGTTCCTGCCTGTTTTTCTCTAAGTACCATAATTAAACTGCCCCTCTAAGCTAATATCATTACAAACCTTTATTAATATCATTGCAAACCTTTATGTAAAGAACTTATTTTATATTCCTTGTTGGACCATCCATGGCTTTAGAGAGATAAATACACCTATAATAACCACAAGCATTAAATGATAAACTATCACCATAGGATATATTCAGGCAAAATATTATATAACATTGTTTCAACAGGAAATACAAGTAAATTTTTTAAATAAAAATTATTTTCAGATGCAAAATGGATGTGTGAACTCACAGAATAGCGTTAAAATTTTGAAGACCATAGTAAAAATAAAATGTTCATTTTAGAAAAACTTTGAGAGAAGAGATGATCTTTGTAGTGCAAACACACTTGATTTGTCTCCTTTAATAGTTACCAAGTTACACAAGTTTACCACATCATGCTGCCCAGGTAGCCTGTTTATTTAGATCCCCTCATCTTTCAGTGACTTTTTAGCACCCATTGAATAAGATGGGCACTTAGAGTAAGTATATATTTATTGCCACTAATTTGGTTTTTTACAAACTTTCTTTTTCTATTACTGTTTATTCAAATTTTTCAAGTGAATACCACAAAATTTCAAAATTGTTTCTACTTTCTCTCCCCTTTTGGAGCATTTTCACTACATGTCTTTCAAAACTATGATTTTACTGGTTATACAGTACTACATCATTCACCTGCTGAATATTAGTTCCTTTTTTGGCCATTATAAATTATATTAATGAACATTCTTGTACGTAAATCATTGGACACATTTTTATTCATTTCTTTAGGATAAAATTCTAGAAATAAAAATTATTGGGTCAGCACATGTGTACGGTGACGGGTGGTAATTAGTGTTTGAGTGGTGAACATGATGTAGTCTACACAGAAATCGAAATATAATGATGTATATCTGAAATTTATATAATGTTATAAATCAGTGTTACCTCAATATAAAAAAAATTATTGGGCTAGAGTAAGTATAAATTTATTGAATTATACAAGTAATACCTGATTATTTAATAGTTTTAAAAATTAAAAAAAAAATTAAACTCACCTAAAATCCCACCACCCAGAGGTAATCAAAATTCATATTTTGCATATTTTTGACTTTTCCATGTATATGTGTGTGTGAAAAAATGTATCACTATCTATATTGCTCTGTAACCTGTTTGTTTTTACTTAATGTATCAAGAATATCAAAAGGTAGGGCTGGCCCCATGGCTTAGTGGTTAAGTGCCCGTGCTCTGCTACTGGCGGCCCAGGTTCGGATCCTGGGCGCTCACCGACGCACCGCTTCTCCGGCCATGCTGAGGCCACGTCCCACATACAGAACTAGAAGGATGTGCAGCTATGACATACAACTGTCCACTGGGGCTTTGGGGGAAAAAAAAAGGAGGATTGGCGATAGATGTTAGCTCAGAGCCAGTCTTCCTCAGCAAAAAGAGGAGGATTGGCACGGATGTTAGCTCAGGGCTGATCTTCTTCACACTCACACACACACAAAAAATATTCTCAGAAATTGTAATTACTTTTTGACATTCTTTTTTTTTTTTTTTTTTGTGAGGAAGATCAGCCCTGAGCTAACATCCGTGCCAATCCTCCTCTTTTTGCTGAGGAAGACCGGCTCTGAGCTAACATCTATTGCCAATCCTCCTCCTTTTTTTTTTCCCCAAAGCCCCAGTAGACAGTTGTATGTCATAGTTGCACATCCTTCTAGTTGCTGTATGTGGGACGCGGCCTCAGCACGGCCAGAGAAGCGGTGTGTCGGTGAGCGCCTGGGATCCGAACCCGGGCCGTCAGTAGCGGAGCACGGGCACTTAACCGCTAAGCCATGGGGCCGGCCCTGAGAATACTTCTGACATTTATTACTATTGCTTCCCAGAAGGGTGGTAGCAATTTACACACCTATTTCATTTAATGGTCCAACAATGGGTTCTATCATTTGACCCTTTACACTTTGCTAGCAAAAATGTGATCACTTTTTATTTATCTTTTATATTTAATTGTGGTAAAAAAACACATAATATAAAATTTACCATCTCACACATTCTCAAGTGTACAGTTCTGTAGTCTTAGCCATATTCACATTGTTGTGTAAAAGCTCTCTAGAACTTTTTCATTTGCAAAAATAAAACTCTATACTCACTGAACAAGAACTCCCCAGTTCCCCTTCCCCCCAGCCCTTGGCAACCACCATTTTACCTTCTGTTTCCATGATTTAGACTACTCTCGATATCTCATATAAGTAGAATCACACAGTGTTTGTCCTTTTGTACTGGCTTATTTCACTCAGCAAAATGTCCTCAGGGTTCATCCATGTTGTAGCATGTGACAGGATTTCCTTCTTTTTTTAAGGCTGAATAATATTCCATTCTATGTATAGACCACATTTTCTTTATCCATTCATCTGTCGTGGACATTTGGGCTGCTTCTACCTATTGGCTATTGTGAATAATGCTGCATTATCGCTTGTGCAAATATCTCTTTGAGTCACTGCTTTCAATTCTTTTGGATATATACCCAGAAATGGGGTTGCTGGGTCATATGGTCATTCTATCTACTTTTTATTTTCTTATTCTCAACATAATTGAGGTGTTCTGACCTGGTCAAGAAGAGGCAGTAAATTCATGCTTCCTGTTCCAAACACATAGTAATGATAGGGAAAAATGCTAAGAGGATACAAAAAAGACAAGGGTGGGTCAAAACAAAAACCAACAGCACCATGAACCTAAAGAATGAAACACAGGTGTGAGAGTGGCTAAAGCAGAGGGCTCCCTGGCTGAAGGCCCAGGAACATCATGGTGGCTGGGAGTTCTGCTTTGAAGGGGACTCACTAAAGGGACTCTGCTGGACAGGGGACCCAAACCCACTGCTTAGAGCCAGCACCAGGGGCTCCCTCATCTGTGAAAAGAGGCTGGGAGAAAAACGTTGCCCATTATGCAGCTCGTTGCTACCCTTCTCTCCGTGGTGGACTTAAGTCAACTGGGGGTTGCACCTGGAGACAAATTGGAGTGATTCTCCTCAACTGTCTTCTCCTTAACTCAGTGGTTCTCAGAATCACCTGCCTCATGGACAGCTAAGAGTTTTTGCTAGGAAGGCTCACTGCGCCTAACTTCCTCAATAAGCAAACAGCAGTCTGCCCCTGGCTCTTTACAGAGGCTCCTGGCAGGTCTGAATTCTTCTTAGACTCAAGCTGGGAGCACTACACCATGTATAACTGTAAAAATGTAAAAAACTGTAAATCAAATGTCCAACAGTAAGGGGTTTGTGGTACATTTTATGGTACATCCATACAATGGAATATAGGCAGCCATTACAACTTGAATATGTAATGACATGGGAGAAAAATGGTCATAATGTTGTTAAAGCAGGTTTTAAATAGGAGGCACTGTGTGATCCCATTTTATATAGGTATATATATATATAATATTCTTTATAAGAGAAGAGGATATAGCTTTATATAGAGGATATATGTTAATAATGATTACCTTTGAGTGGTGGGATTGCAGGTAATTTTTATTATTTTTATTTTCTTCTTGATGCTTTTATGTATTTCCAGATTTTTCTACAATGAGCATGTACTATTATTTACTTTTTTTTTAGCATGTATTATTTTTATAATCAGAAAAAAAGGTGAAAGTCCTTGAAAATCAATGACTCCCAAGGTCTAGCTGCAGTGCTAACTCTCAGGGACAGAAGTTGAACCACTGTTCACTGTGGAAGGGCTTCGTTTGGGAGTTTTAAGGAGCTAGGGGGTCTGGGGCACAGATCTGGAGTTGGGGGGTCCAGGAATTCACAATCCTCACCTTAGCTTGTGCCACTTCTTTGCTGGTGAGCATGAAGAGGACATCCTGGGTATGAAGCAGAGAAAAGGGCAGGTCCAGAAGGGAGATATACTTGCGCAGCACATTCACAGACTGAAGCGTGAGCACAGAGCACCCTGGTGGGGGAAGGGAGATGGGAGAAGTGAAGAGTCTTGTTGCTTCCAGACAGATTTCCCCTGAGCAGCCTACCTCTCATCTGGGGTGCAGGGCAGGGCAGTGGCCATGGAGTTGCCACATGACTCCATGGCACCAGAGCTGCTCTTTGCCCATCATTCTCGTAGACGGGAGAGTGAAAGGGCCATAGGACACCTGGCTGGCTGCCCTCTACCCGCTGTGTGCCCTAGCTAGAAAAGGGTGGGATCTGGCCACCTTGAGGCCAAGGGAACGGTGCTGGAGACAGGAATTTCTGTGTTGGGAGGTCAGAGACCTGGTTCCTGCTCTGTCGCTAAAGAACTGATAGATGGGAAAGTCCTTTAACCTCGCCGAGCCTCAGTTTTCTCGTCTGTAAAATAGTGTTGGTAAGTGTAGGCCTGCCTGTCTCGCCAGGTTGACATAAGAATCAAATAAACTATAGTCATGTTCTAAAGACTTCACAACTTGGTAACCTCAGTAAGCCTACTCAGAAACGGCACACGCTACTTATGTTTTCATTCATTTAATCATCATAATCACTCCTGAGAGAGATGTACATTATCCCCATTTGACAGACCAGAAACTGGCTCAGAAAGGTTAAGCATCAGTGTCATGCAGTAAATGGCCAAATGGAGTCAAACACCTTCCTTTGAGTTAGGAAGAGTTTCTAACTCAAGCAGATTACCCCATCAAGCACCTATCAGTCATTTACAACCTGGCTAATTAATTGGAGGTTCGGATATGACTTTAGATGGACAGACTGAAAGAATACCAGAGGTGGAAAAGAGCTAGCCTATGAGAATGCTAGACAGGTGAGGGGGCAAGGCCTAGTGTGATGATTAATTTTATGTGTCAACTTGATTGGGTCACAGAGTGCCCAGATATTTGGCTAAACATTATTTCTGGGTGTGTCTGTGAGGGTTTTTTCCAGATGAGATTAGCATTTGAATTGGTGGACTCAGTAAGGCAGATGGCCTTCCCCAATGTGGGTGGACATCATCCAATCCATTGAGGGCCTGAATAGAACCAAAGGTGAAGGAAGGGGGAGTTCATTCCTTTCTGTCCTACTGCATGAGCTGGGACATCATCTTCTGTCCTCAGACTGAGATTTACATCATCAGCTCCCCTGGTTCTCAAGCCTTTGGACCCAGACTGAATTATGCAACCAGCTTTCCTAGGTCGCCAGGTTGCAGAAGGCAGATCATGGGATTTCTCAGCCTCCATAATTGCATGAGCCAATTCCTTATATACAAGGATCCCATACTATAGGATCGATCTATCTATCTATCTATCTATCTATCTATCTATCTATCTGTCAGTCATCTATCTCCTATACCTATATCTCCTATTGGTTCTGTTTCTCTGGAGAACCCTGACTAACACACCCAGTCTCCCCTCACACCTGGAGGCTGCCTGGCTGGCAGGGTACTTCCCAATAGATACAATCTGATTTTGAGACCTGAGCTGAGTCAGGGAGAGTGTGGTCTGGCCTCCCCCTGCCAACCTCTGCTTGGCCTAGGGCAGCTCTCTGTATATTTACAAATTTCACCCTAATAAGTTTCTTAGAGTGATAGTAACTAGTAGCCTTTTTCAAAAGGGCCCAACCTTACCTTTAGGTAACTTCCCTTCTGAGTGCAGGGTCCTGGAGGAGGAAAGGACAAGAGTGAGAGCCAGGAAGAATTCCTTTGTAGTTAATAGGAAGGATCTTCAGAGTAAGGCCTGCTGCACCCTATGGTCCCTCCAGGTAGGTTTCTAGGTCGTTTCTTTTGCATAAATCGCCATATAGGTTTCTGGGATTCCACACCTCTGGCTACAGCTGAAGGGACCAGGGTGGGCACCTTACCTAAGGACAGCCAATCTGGAGGCTGTCAATGGCTTATGTAGTGCCCTGGCCCAAGCTTGCCCATTAGAAATGAAGGTAACTACAGTGGACTCTTCAAAATTTTTCTCTTGAAATTGAAATTGAACTTGTGGGTATAGTGGGAGAATATTTAAAAATATTAATTGATATTTCTTCCCTGATAGTTCCTCTCTCCTTTTTGATCTCCCCTCTCCCACCTTCTGACAATGAAGGCCTTCTGTACTCACTGCCTTAAAAGGGGGGTGAGGCAGGTCCAACAGCACTGATCTCCAAATCTCTTGCCTGCTTTGTTGTTTTGAAAGCTGAGGGATGGAGAAGGGTGGAGTAGATAGTCCCCATCCCACCCCAACACAGACACACATATTCACATGAAAAGAGATTCTTGGGAGCAGGGTTAAAAAAGAGAAGTTGGGAGAGAATTGATAAACTTATGGACCTGACTCCCTGGTAGAGCCCTGAGAAGTAAAAAAACCTGAAAAAGGTTTCTGGGATCCTGAGATAAGAGGCGGCTTGTCTTGCACTCTGGGTAGAGTCCCAGGGATATGCTGAGTTTGAGGTGGTCAGGATCTCCAAAGAAAGAGTTGGGAATGCAGGATCTAAGTTAAGGAGAGAGGTGAGCACTGGAGACACACACTTGAAAATCACACTTAAAATACTAAAGCCAGGAGGAATCTGCATGGAGAGGATCTGGGGTTGGGGAGGGAGCCCTGGGAAAGAGCACTGAAGCACCTTCTGCTGGAGGGAAGTCAGGAAGAGACTGAGAAGAGGCCAGAGAGGCCACGGAGGGAGGACAAGCTGGTGTGTGGTAAAGTCAAAGCAGCATTTCAGTGAGTGACAGGCAGGGTCAAATGCCATGGAAAGGTCAAGACAGATGAGGACCGAAATAAACCTAGGGAATTTAGCAGCCAGAAGGTGACTGTGGAGAAAACAATTTTAGTAGATTGGTGGGGAGCAGAAGGCAGGCACAGAGGGAAGGAAGGACGGAAGTGGAGGGGAATTGTGGCCTGCTCAGAGGGACTTGAGGCCTTCTCTGTGCACAAGAGGACATGTCATCACTGTAAGTATTAGTGCCTGAGGTCAGAGGGCTGCCTAGACTGAGGAGGGCCCTGCGGCCACAAATGGAGCCGAACCCCGGGGTGGGGCAAAAGAAGGGGAGGCTTGAAGACAAACCTTCTCCCCTTGGCATTTCCTCTTGGAATCTAAGGGGCTGTGGCTGCAGAGGGCAGCACTAGGTGACCAGCAGAGGTCACTGAGGGCCAAGGGAGCAGAGCCGCAGGGTGGGACGGAGGCTTGGGGTCTACCATGGAGGTGGGCACCAGGCAGCTGAGCCTGCTGTGAAGCTGTGAAATGTGTTTTGGGGCCTGGGAATGGAATGCCAGCCCATGGGCTGCTGCTTCTAGGAAGTGCTTCCTGCAACCTGTGTAGCCACTTCGTGGCCAGCAAGCATCTCCCCTCCTTCTGTGACGTTTGCTTTGGTTCTCCTGGCAGAAGTGCTCTCCTGGGAGCTTCCACAAGCAACCGTCTATGGCCACAAGAGTACAAAAGAAAGGGCCAGAAGGGCACCTGGAAAGGAAGGGAAGAGGAAGACGCGTTGTCATTGTGTGCTAGATACTGCTCTGTTAGATGCTTTGTTTCATCAAAACAACCTGACAGATCAGGTGTGAATGTTCTCATCTTTCAGGTGACAAAACTAAGGCTCAAAGAGGTCAGCAATTTACTCCAGTTCACACAAACTTGCTTACTAAAGGAAAGTGGCAGTGAGGTGCCATTCAGAGCACTAGAAAAGACAGGAAACCTGAGTTCTAGTTTCTGCTTTGTCTCTTGGGAGCTACGCAGCTCTGGATAGATCACTCCTATTTCCTGACTAGATCTGTTCAGCAAGGACTGCAAGAAACCCCAATTCTGGAGCCTTCCCCTCTACCGTAAAGTTAGGTGACCACAGAGGGACCTCACTGCTGCGTAAAGCTGCCAGCCACTTGGTTTCAGCTGTGGGAAGGACACAACTGACTGAGGCCGAGATAAATGGCCTACCTGGGGAGGTGGGGGAAGAGCAGGAACAAGCCCAGAAGGAGAAGGAGAGGATATTTGAGGATGAGGGCCTAGCAGCAGTCAGGGCTGAGCGGATGGAGGGTGAAAGGGTAAGATTATAGAAGCAGATTTCTGCTTCTGGATGTGGTCATAGGTAGCCTCAAAACAGCTGTGGTGCCAGCAATCGGAGAACTGTCTGAGAAAACCAGAAATCCAAACTACGTCGGAGGACAATGCATATGGGGGATGAGGAACTACAAACAGGCAGGGATGAGAGCTCAGGGGGCTTTCCTGGAAAACAATGTAAGATGCTGGCACAGGAAGACTTTTTTAGGGATGAGAGGCTCCTGGGGGAACTGGCAACTGTGAAATTCCCCAGGAGTGTAGGTGTTGGGGGGATAAGGAAGGCTGTAAGGTCATTTTCAAAGGGGTGTGGACAGTAAGTCGAACAGATATTGGGCCTGTCAGACTATCTCAAGCACAGTGACCCTCGCTGTGCATAGAGAGGACCCAGAAGTATTAAAAGCCTGTGGCACTCCCGCCTCTTCTGAGGAAAATGGCCCCAGGCAGTTCTGGCTGCATAAAGCTGTCCCCTGGGGTTCTCTACCCTGAATGAAGCCCTCCCCAATGCCCCACTTCAGTGCTGGGGCCAGGGAGGGGGCCCAGCCACATCAGCCTCAAGCGCCCCTCCATCCTGCCTGTCGAGGTACCCTTGGTGTGTTTGATCTCTCTGGTGCAGTGTAAATGCTTGGTGAAAAATGACAAGGCTCAGTGTGCATCCAGAATGAGGCGGAGCCACTGTTCCTGTTCTCCACAGGGCCTGCTGTGCACTCCCATCTTGGAAGCCCAAGGCCTCAGAGTAACCACATGGTTGGAAAGACCACACCTGGGCTACCTCATTTTTTCATGTATCTTCACAAAAATTGCATCTCTGACTGTAGCTGGGAGATGTGTCTTTCCTGAACCTAATTCAACTAGCAACAGGTCTCCTCTACAGGTGTGGCCTCTGGCTGGGACAAGACATGAACAGTCTTTATAGGAGAGGAGAGCATTCTTGCCTCCCCTCATTACACAGTCAAAGAAATAAGAAGAGCTGTCTGGAAAGAGTGCATAGGTAATAATTTCTAGCATCTTCCTAGCTGATACACAATTTAGGGACAAGGCTGGAGGGTCCTAATACTGGATTGGTCTTCACATTGTAGCAGACAGACTAATGAATGGAGACCCAGGATTCCTGGATTCTCCTTCTGCCTCTGCCATTGTTCAGCCTGGTAGTGCTGGGCAAACCACTTCACTGCCTCGGTAAAATGAGGCGGTTGGACTTCATGATAGGTGAGGTCATTTCCAACTTCACATATTTCCCAGCTCCGGTCTGAGAATGTCAGCATGTTTAGAAGAAGGTTACAAAATAAGTCCTTTACTTCAAGTTGCCCTTTTCCTTCCTTAGTAGCTAGGCCAGGTCCACCACACTGCTGCCCATGGTGCCCAGGAGAAGCATTTCTCTGGAGAACAGGAACATGGTGTATGTTTGTATGACCCTGAGTAAGTCCTTCAATATCTTTGAGGTTCAATTTTTTTTTTAACTGGTAGAATGCAAATCTATATCGGTAAAATAGGGTGACTATGAAGAACAAATGAGATATCATATTATATATGTATATCCTCCTTATCCAAAGAAATATTTGAGATAGTCCACAAAATATACAATGGAAGATAAACAACACAAATGAGAAGAGGAGGAAAAAGAAGATGAAGCCAGAAGGCACACTGATTCACAGAACTCAATCCTTAAAGTCTCATATATGTGCTTCAAGGGGTTGCAAATTTGGCCCTAAAGCTTTCTGTGGACAAAGCAAAGAAAGAAAGAAAATCAGTTACTCCATTTGCTGTATCCATGGGGTAAAAAACTCAGCCATATAGGACATGAAACAATAATAAGACTTGAGAGCGATTTCTCACAGGGAGGCCATGGTGAGATGTAGTGAGCAATATGGCCAACGCCGCCTCTCTAACATAACTCAGACGTGAGTTTCACAGGGCTCAGATGATGCGTGGGAAAGTGCTTTTGAAACCGTCCACCCTGATGAACAATCCCTCTCCCACCTCCGTCACCCAGAGAATCGTACCTCACGGCCGCATACAGAGCAACGTGATTGCTGTGACCACTCACTCCCCCGGCATCAAAAGTCACCACCTGGAGAGAAACACAGGGTTTTTTACTCACGCCTGTCCCAGTGCTTTCTCTACTGCCTTGCCTTCCTGGTAGCATTCCCTGGGGAAAGAAAGGAGCGAGCAGAACCCTGAAACTCTTCAAATTCTGAGTGTACCTGAACTGACTTCAGAGCAGATCCGTGTGCTATTGGTTTGGTCGATTGTGTGGAGAATGTTCCATGGGTTTTACTGTTTACAGTACTCTTGTTCCTGGCCAGTGGAGCAGAGTGGAATTCAGCCATGAGAGAAACCTGGGTTCAGAATATCTTTTTTTCTTATCTGCCTGGCCAGTTATTAGCACATTTAGTTCTCCGGGCTGGCTTGTGTATGAACTTTGTTCACGTAGATGCTGCCTCATTTATTTGGTCTCTTTTCCTTGTGCTATACTGAGAGCACAAAAGCTTTGAGGGACAATGTCCACCATGCCCTGGTTAAGTTCACAGAAGAAGCCTATTTACTCGTAGACTGCCTCTGTTTCCATTTTCACAGATATATCATCTGTTTATTAACTACTAGCTTAGTCTAGGTTCCAACATTTCATTTCTGCACAGACTAAAAAAAAAAAAGAAAACCCAAAGAATAGTTTCAATAATAATAATAAAAGGATAGCTTGAATAATAAAAGAAATACAAGAAAGAAAACAAGGACTCAGAAAAAGGAACAGAAGTGGTTGGTTAGGGTGTTGGAAAGAGGCTACCTGTCCCTAAGGAAAGAAGGTGACCATGCAGCATGGATGCAGGGACCTGGAACTGGGATTGCAACAGGCTGGGAAGGGATTCATTATTGGTCTTTCTATATTAACCATAAAATGTTGACTTCACGTATAGAAAACTCTCTGTTACAATAAGAGCAGCTAATATTTATCGAGTACAGCCTGGGGGGTGGGGCTATAGATTAAAAGAAAATTTAAAGTCCTGTCAACTGATCCTGATTCAAACAAGCTGTAAAAATAAAAACAAAATAAAAATACATCTATGACATGAGACTATTGGAAATGTAAAACACTGATATTAATGAATTATTAACTGTTAGGCATTATAGTTGTTAATAAAAGACTCAGTATCTTTTAGAAATGCATACTAAAATATCTAAATATGAAATATGATGCTGAGCATTTGCTTCAAAATAATACAGGAGGTGGGGGAGGTGAACAAGTGTTTAAATAAAAATAATATTGACTATGAGTTCATTATTGAGGCTGAGTGATAGGAACACGGAGGTTCATTAAACTGTTCTACTTGTGCATGCTTGATATTCTCCATAATAAAAAATTTGAAAAAAAGAGTTAAAGGCTTATAAAAAGCTAGTCATATAATGGTGGATACATGGCACTATACATTTGTTAAAACCCATGGAATGTACAAACCAAGAGTGAACCCTAATGTAAATATGGACTTTGGATGATGATGATGCATTGATGTTGGTTTACTGATTGTAACAAATTGTGGGAGACGGGGGCATGTATGTACTTTCTGCTCAATTTTGCTGTGAACCTAAGTGCTCTAAAAAATATAGTCTACTAAAAAAAAGTTAACCACATAACTCAAGTACCTGGTTCTGACCCCATTCTTCCATGCAACACAGTCGGGGGAGACCTGAGTCTACTCTCATCTCTGTCACTAGATCACCCCAGCCCCTTGGTCAAGCCATAGAATTTACCACTGGAAGTTATTTCAACTTTCAATGCCTTGGTTTTCTCATCTGTGAGATCAGAAAAGTAACACCTGCCCTACTTTCCTCACTGGGTTGAGGTGAAGATAAATAAAACCACATGTAAGAACCATATAGTAGTAAAGGTGAGAGTGTCTCAACTCCAAGTGAGCTGCCATCAAACAGAGCATGAGGGTTGGGGCTGGGTCACCAACACCATCACAGGTGTGCTGGAGGGCACTCCCTTGCTTAGGGGATTTGGGGCCACATGGAGTTCAGCCCAATCAATTTTGAAATTCTCTAAGGTCTTTGTTTCTTCCTCATCGTACATCTTCTTATAATCTCCCTCTTTCTTTCTGTGGCAAGGAGGGCTGAGCTGAATTGTATCCAGCTCCCTGAACATCTGCAAATTCATACATGACAACAATGGCACCTGTAGTTCTTTACAGAACGCCATCCACTACCCACCCCTCCTGTGCTAAACTGCAGAAATCTCTGTTCAAATGAAATCTTACCCAGACCCCAATAAACAAGAGATAACAGTGGGGCTGCTCTGGTTTCTCTAAGACAATGGTTCTCAACTTGGGGCAGTTTTGCCCCAGGGACATTTGGCAATGTCTGGAGATATTTTTATTGTGAGCTCTGAGGGGGGTTGCTACTGGGTAGAGAAGGGTTATCTAGTGGGTAGAGGCCAGGGATGCTGCTAAACATCCTACAATGCACAGGACAGCCCCCACAACAAAGATTTATCCAGCCCCAAATGTCAATAGTGCCCTAAGGGAGCAGGGACTAGGTGTGTTTGGTTCACTGGTATATCCCCAGCTCACAATAGACAGTGAATATTACATAGCAGGTGCTCAATAAATATTTGTTGAATGAAAGATTGAGGTAGGGGCTGAGCCTAGGACTTAGTCTGCTTGATACCCAAAGACACTACCAAACCCCTAGGCTGCTTTCTGTAGAGGGCAGCATTACACTATTCAAAACACTGCCCTGTCAGTTATCCTAGGGGTTCTTGCAATGCTCCTGCAGTAAGCAGAACAAACAGCTCCGCAAGCATACAATGGAGCTGGGACCAGAGAGAACCCAGTTTCCTTCCATCACACTGTGCTAATGGCTGCAGAGCCAGCTTTGGCTTTGGACAAAGGAGAGCTTTTGGTATCATCTCAGCATAGCCCAGGTGAGAAACTTCCTTCCCATGGCTTAGCTCCATACTTCTCACTTCTGTCTATGCTTCCCTGCTGGGACTTCATCTTCTCTAATAGCGCAGTCGATACTTCTGGTCTGGACGGGGCACCTGGGGCCCTCCCAAGATTTATGCACTCAGCTTGGTACAGGATACTGCCACCGAGTGACTTCTCACCTGCTTAGTATTAACGCCTCATCCCTGGCCCTGCAGGGACTATGGGACTGTGTGAAAGTGCATTTCACTGTGTCATGGGAGGTGAGTGGAAACCCGTGCTTAGCTTTATTATGGCCACTTATGTCCATACTGGCCACGATGTTAGCATGGCCTTATACTTCTATTATTGCACTAAGTGCAAGCCAGGAAAATTATTCCCAACTACACTGAGATAACTTGAGAGTTTCCTTGTTAACAGCAAGGTGTGTTAAAGAGCTGTTTTAAAACGATTTCCTTATTTACAGAAATTAAATCAATTCAAGATTATCCTGACAGTAAAAGTCCCCTCACTCACTTGAATGAATGTGAGCAGCTCAGACAACGGGAAAGAGAGCTCCAGGCAGGGAGATGGCAGTTAATAGTTGGGGCAGTTTGGGGATGAGCACTGTCTGGGGCCTGTTCTAGTTCTCGGGGGATAGAAAGATGTCATGGTGCAGTCCTTACCTTCACACACGTTACAGTCTAGATCGCAAGACATGGTCTGCACTTTAAAGGATAAACAGCAACACATGTCACAGGCGCGACACATAACAAATACTGTAGGAATCCCAAAAAGGGCTGAAGAAGTCAGGTAAGGCTTTTTGGAGAAGGCGGTCTTGAGGTGGCCCTGGACCATAAATCACTTTTCTGGGACACAAACTTGGGAGACTCTTCTGAGAGCAAGAATGGCACGCAGAGCTGTCTGTACCCTGAAGCTCAGAGCCGTGGCCAGCTGCAATGTGGTCTAAAAAAGAAACCTGGCCCCTCAGCAAGGACCAATCCTGTTCACCAGTGTGCTGTACTTAAGTAAGGGTCAGATCACGGAGAGCCAAATTCAGAAAGATGGGAGTTTATCCTACAAGCAGGAGTTACTGGGAAAACCAGCATTCTGAGGCACTGAAGTAGGGGAGGAGAGAAAGTATTTGGGGACTGGTCGTGGGGAAGCCACTACCAGGGAAATGGGGTCCCAAAGGGAACTGCAGCACACTTCCCAGACCCCACTGTTTGACTGTAAGCTGGCCCTAAAGACCAGCTCTGTCTACCAGTCTGGGCTGTGAAGCCCTGAGAGCTTCTCACAGTGTGGGCTGGGGTGGAATGGGCAAGAGAATCCAGGCAAGCCCTGTCAGCAGGGCTGGCATTTGACTCCTAAGCCAAACCACGGTCCAAAGCCTCCGGGAAGGTAAAGCTGGGAGGTGTGAGCCTGTAGGCTGTTGGTGACCATTTCTCCAGCCAGAAAAAGAATGAAGCCAGCACATAGAGCAAGATGGAGAAGTGTCCTGGCACTTCTGCCTTTATGTAACTCCAAGAGAGCTGGTCAGATGCCCCTTCTGGCCTATGTGGACCAAGTTGCAGTTGTATTTCTACCATTAGAAAACAAAGATGCTGGGGCCAGCCCGGAGGCGCAAGCGGTTGGGTGCGCACGTTCTGCTGCGGCGGCCCGGGGTTCGCCGGTTCGGATCCCGGGTGCGCACCGACTCACCGCTTGTTAGGCCAGGCTGTGGCAGCGTCCCATGTAAAGTGGAGGAAGATGGGCATGGATGTTAACCCAGGGCCAGTCTTCCTCAGCAGAAAAGAGGAGGATTGGCATTGGATGTTAGCTCAGGGCTGATCCTCC